TTAGGTCTAAAGTGGGTCTCTTGTAAACAGCATATAGATGGATCTTGTTTTCTTATCCATTCTGTTACCCTGTGTCTTTTGATTGGAGCACTTAGTCCATTGATGTTTAGAGTGAGTACTGAAAGATATGAATTTATTGCCATTATGTTGCTTGTAGAGTTGGAGTTTCTGGTGATGTTTTTTGGTCCTTTCTAATCTTTGTTGTTTTTGGCTTTTTATATTCTCAATACAATATTGTCAGCTATCTTCAAACACAGTTATGCAGGGAGTTAAGGTTTCAGTATATCAGTTTTGTAGAACTACCCCATGATCCAGTAATCGCACTACTGGGTATTTACCTCTAAAATACAAAAACACTAATTCAGAGCGATACATGCACCCCTATGTTTATTGCAGCATTGTTTATAATAGTTAAATTATGGAACCAACCCAAGTGCCCATCAATAGATAAATGGATGCAGAAGATGTGGTATGTGTGTGTATATATATATATATATATATATATATATATATATATACACACACACACACACACACATATGTGTATATATATGTGTATACACACATACATATATATACATATATATATGTATACACACACACATATATATACATATACATATATATACGTATACACACACACATATATATATATGGTATGTATACAGATGTATATGCATATGCTAAGTGAAATAAGTCAGTCAGAGAAAGACAAATCCCATATGATTTCACTCATGTGGAATTTAAGAAACAAAATGAATGAGCAAAGGACAAAAAAAGAGAGACAAACCAAGAAACAGACTCTTAGCTACAGAGAACAAAATGATGGTTACTAGAGGGGAAGTGGGTGGGGGATGGGTGAAATAGGTGATGGGGATTAAGAGTGTGCTTACCATGATGAGCACTGAGTAATGTATAGAATTGTTGACTCACTGTTTTGTACACCTGAAACTACTATAATACTGTATGTTAACTATGCTTGAATTAAAACAAAAAAAAACTAATTAAAAATATATCAATTTTGGGGGGATACAATTCAGTCCTTAGCAGTGTTCGAATTCACTAGTCATCAGAGGAATGTAAATTAAAGCAATAAGGAACTATCACTTCTCACTCATCAAATTGGCAGAATTTCATAGGATTGATGATATCATGTGATGACAAGAAGACAAAGAATGTTTTTTTCAAACACTGGGATTAGGTGTGTGATTTGATGAAGCCTTTGCAGAAGTCATCATGGTATTAGCCATCAAAGTGTACAAAGCCCTTTATGCTTCAACCCTGCAATCCCACTTCTTGGACTCTGTTCTAGAGAAAAACCTGCTCATATGAACAGAGAAGCATGCTCAGGGATGTTCTTTGCACTATGGTTTGTGGCAGCCAAAAGGTAGGAATAATCTAAATATTATTCAACAGGAAGTCCCGTTAGTAAATTTGGCATTCCCTGACATGGTCTACCAGGCAGTTATTTTAAAAAGGGAGAGCAGGTTAGGGTGGGAGTTATCTTTTGTAGGAAGTGACTGGAAGAGGGCACCAGAGTCTTCTGGTCTATGCCTTGTTTAAGGAGCAGGTTACATAAGTGTGCATTTTGTGAAAGTGTGTGGAAGTTCATTGGTATGCACATATGATTTGTACACTCTTATCACTTGAATAAAAATATTTTTAAAATTAGAAACCCAGTGTACTCTTGATTTAAATGAGACTCAGATTCTCATACTCTTCATTTGAATAAGAAATATAGCTCTATCATGGGTTATTGGGGAATTATTATTTTTCTTTTTTTATCCACATACCCATGGATTTCATGTTAGTAATGTCCTTCTGGCTTAACAAAGAAAATTCAGGGGCACTCAGGTGGCTCAGTTGGTTGGGTGTCTGACTCTTGATTTCGGCTCAGGTCATGATCCCAGGGTTATGAGATTGAGCCCTACATCAGTCTCCATGCTAAGCATGGAGCCTGCTTAAGATTCTCTCTATCTCTCTCCTTCTGCCCCTCTCCCCTGCTTGTGTGTATGTGCTCTCTCTCTCTCTCTAAAATAAAAAAAACAAAAAAACCCAAAAAACAGCAAAGAAAATTCAAAGGTACATGTTTCTTCCAGAAAATAAGGACATCAGTTTAAGTATTATTACAAGGGTGCTACAATAAATGGGTCATCAGAATTGAAGACTGTAAGAGGTTAAGAATCACAATCATAGGACATGGTAATAATGTCACAGTGTGAGTGTCCTAAAGTTTGTTAAGTTTTCAGTGGTCAGAAATAAAATTTGCAAAACTAGTTCTTGGTATACAGCAGAATCTGCTCTCCTGCAGCTGTTTATTCTATGGATACTCTCCCTCTTACCCTGCTCAGGATATCCTTATCCTCCCAGGAGGAAGAAGGGCCTACAGGTTCATGCCAGGTGCTGGAATCCGTGAGCTACCATTGAGAGAGAAAAGGCAGGTCTGAGAACATGGGAATGTACCCTTTGGGCCAGAAGAAGACAGAGGGGAATAATTCAAAAGTGGAATACAGGGCATTGAGTGTTGAAGATCTTCAGTACAAATTGAGTGTTGAAGATCATCAAGACCTAGTGGTAAACAGAAAAACAGTGTAATGACAATGTGTGTGGACACAAATGCACATGGAAATGCATAGAAAGGTAACTAGAAAGAGTTACAACAAAATATTGACAGCAATTACCTTTGAGAGAGGAAAATGATACCACATCCAGCCATGAAGTGAGCTCTTCCATACTCTTTGTATTACTTGTGGGTGTATTTTTGTGAATGTTGTGTAAATTAAAAAATCCCAAGTAAATAAATGATCCAAGGTTTAATGATCCAAGGGAGAAAGAGAATTGAAAAATTACCTGGCTTACTTGACCATGGGGAAATTCTGTTGAAAGCAGTGATAGAATTCTTCTGGAGAGTTTGGGAATGATTAGTGAAGGGGCACATAGATAACTGAGGAAGTAGAACAAACAAAGTGAAGATGAGGAGGATCAGGAGGAGGAGGGGCAGGAAGGGCAGGATGTGGAAGAGAAGAAGGTGGAGGAAGAGGAGGCAGAAGAAGAAGAAAAGGAAGAAAAATCTGAAGGATTACAGACAGATGGATTGGTTGGCTCCTGAGTTCAAATATGAGTTCAGCAAGAGTACGTAATCACCATAGTAGTCCAGTAATGGATCTACTTATACAGGCATAATGAAATGGAAAGTCTGTAAATTGAGTTAAAAATTGTCATCTCATTCTGTGGGAGATAGTGGAGAGAGAGAAGAGTGAATAAAATTGTTAAATCTGCATGTGTCATTATAGTAATTCAAATGATGATGTTTCAAGATGCAAGACTACAAATTTTGTTTGTTTTATATTTACATGAATGATAAATACCAGATAAATGCCTGAGAGTGGAATACAGGTTAGAGGGAGTCAGAGAGCTGGAATGGAGAAGATTGGCTGGATTTCCAAGTCTTGTAGCACAGTGTGACTTTTTTGAACCTGGCTGTTCATGCCGACATGGGCCATTCTGATTCCACATGGCTTTGCAGCTGAATGTGACAGGCCCAGCATTCTGGGCTTCTCTGGGGAGGGACAGGGATGGCTGACCTTCGAGGCCCACTAACATAGCAGACAACCAGGAATAATCCCCTCTCCAGACACACCCTTAACATGGAGCATTGTCCCATAAGCACATGTAATTCACATAGATACCCAGGATCTTGTAGGAAACAGACACAGCATCATGACCGTTAAGATTAAGGTTAACTATGGACTAAGACCTTTGTTGTTTCCTTCGTTCATTATTTCCTATAAACTGCCCAACAAAATGGGTCTGTCTGTTGGGCATGAATTTCAAGTAGCAACCCCAGATGTCTGAGAAATGTAACTCTATTTTCCAGCATCTTCACTAGTTAGGGTGGATTGAGTTATGAAATAGATAGACCAGACACGTGATGGTACAATACGTATTTTCTGCTAACCAGGGGAGCAGTTGGGGAAACAGTGACTGTTCCTACAGTGGTTCAGAGACCAAGGCTGATGGGAGTTCTTCCTCTCTATAACTTGTGGCCTTCAAAGCACCATGGATGTCACTTGGCCAGTCAGCTAGGGGAAGAAGAGTATGGAGGAGAGTGCCCATGGGAGATGTTTCAAAGCCAGGCCTGTTTGTGGCACACATGACTTCTGATAGAAGTGATTCCATAGAGCCAAAGACAGTCTCATGGCCACACAGGGGAACCTAGGAAATGTGGCTGAGTTGTGCTCCCGGGAGGAAAAGATGAGCCTTGGTAGAGTTAGCAGTCTTTTCCACAGCTACTTAACCTCCTTTCTATTGGTAATCCCCATTCTCCTTCATTGTGGAAATTTAATTCTGCTAAGTCTAGGGTTTCTGGTCTGAATTTGGGGTTGTTCATGAAGTTAGGGTATCAGTGGGAACCCCTCGATGTTTGTCATTCATCGTGTCACCCTAGATCTCTGTTTTCCTTCATTCTAGATGGCTCCTGTGTTATCCCTGGCTCCCCTCTGCTAGTCATTCCCACCCTGGTACTTTGCATTTCTGTAGACCTCCTTCTCACCAAGCTGAGACATGGGCTATCCTACTTGGCTGTCTAAGGTCATTTCTTCCTAGACCTCCCTACCATGCAGCATATTTTCTTTGCGACCTTGGAGCCTCTATAGGACTTATTTGTGAAGAGGTAATACAAATAGTATCTGGGGTCTTTGACACCTCACCCCTTCCTGAGATGCAACCCTCCTTAGGGTTATACTTGCATGTAATCTCTCTTTCTCTACTTCCTTTATTCCTTTCAGGATTGGGGGAGGGGTGATCTTCATCAGCTCTTGCACCAAATCTATTGTTTATTTCTTGAGGTCTTTCCATTCTTCCCTTAACAATTTCACTTTTGGATCTCAAAAGTTGAAGGAGGGTTCTGTTTGCCTAGAAAAAGCAGGGATATGAAACACGTAGCTCCAGCAAAACACAGATACTGACTCAGAAACAAATAAACACATGCACACACATGAGAAGCTGGAACATTCCCTTCATTTTTTATTGGTTTAAATATTTTTTTTTTTCTGAAAGAGCATCCAAGTATCATGGAGCTAAGCACATATAGGGCATGAAAGTGAGGACCCTCAAGGTGGATGAAGATGGCTCCAGCAGCGAAAAGGATGAAGTAGTATGATGTCCCTGGGCTAGTGGGTTGCTTGGATGTTGAGTTCCTTGGCCAATAGGTTTTCTGGCTAGAAGATGTCTTGGCTGTTGGTTTCTTGCATGGTGGCTGATTTGGTTGGTTAGGGCCTTGGTGGGTAAGTCCTATTTGAGGTGGACTCATGGACTACTTGGCCTGGCCTTCACATAAATAGGGTATAGACATAAATGATGCCTAAACCAATGAGTATGGCAAATACATCCAGCCAGCCAGTTCGGCCTGAGTTGAGGTAAGCATCTTCCCATTCGCTGTTCTTGTTGGCCTGCGAAGTCTGTAGGGATGGGAGCTTTAGGTATGGGTTTCTGAGTCTAGCCTTGTGATACCCTTGGGGAAGGGCTGGGGACCAATGGTCACTGAGGGAAAGCCCCTATCCAGGTCCCAGGGCAGAAACAGGTGTAAGGGGCAGGTAGAGGGCAGGATGGGCCATTGCATAGGTGTTGTTTTACCTTGTAACTGAAGAATATAGCTATTAATCCCAGGGGAGGGAACAAAATTACGGCCAGGATGGTCAAACATAAGTAATTCGGGGCATAAAATGCCAGTTCTTCAGGTGTCTGTGTTTCCTCTGGCGGCTTCTCAGGGGCGCCTGCAGCCGGCGGGGCTCCTGCAGCCGGCGGGCCTCCTGCAGCCGGCGGGCCTCCTGCAGCCGGCGGGACTCTTGCAGCGGGCGGGCCTCCTGCAGCAGGCGGGCCTTTTGCAGCAGCCGCGCCTTTTGAAGCAGGAGGACCTCCTGCAGCAGGTGGGGCGGGTTTTGGGGGCATGATCTTTCCACCCAGACAAAGACAGATCCTGAGTGTCTTGAAAACAGAGAGCCAAGCCCACTATACCTCCCCTAGTTTAAAACCAAGACTCCAGCATCCCAAGACTCCAAACGTTAAAGGCCACTTCTTCACAATGGAGAAACCAGTGCCTCAAGTCCTGATTGGCTGTCTGCATAAGGGGGCGTGGTCCCACAATTCTCTGCTTCTCCTGGACTCGGAGCTTGGAGCTTGGTTCCATCCTCTATCAGGACATTGGCTCCACCCGTCCTGATAGGGATTTGTTGGAAACTGTAAGATGGGATCCTGGCTCCTCCTTGTTGCAGACCCCAGTCTGCTACAGGAGGACAGTACCAGAGTTGCGTCTCTAGATGGAAGAGAGGAAGTAGACAAGCCCTGTAAGAAAACTAGGAGATGACAAACAGAAGGGAAGGAAAAGGAATAATGTCAATAACAGATTATAAAATATTGAATTAGAAAAGAATTCTTTAGTCTATACTGACTGAAAGAGAAAGAAGGTGAAAACGGGGAAGGTCTTAAAAGTTGAATGTCATTTAATAAGTGTGGATGAAATGATGGAAATGGGAAATCACCATTGTGGTAGGTAGAGTTCTAAGATGGCCCCAAGATTCCTGCTCCCTGGTGTACACACACTTTTTCCCAGTTGTTCATTCAAGTACTAATCTATGTGCTACTGTGGAGGGATTTTGTACCTGTAGTTAAATTCCCCAATCAGTTAACTTTAAGAGAGGGAAAATGTCCTCCATGGGACACTAATCCAGTGACTTCTTAAAAGGGACAACATCTTACTGGCAAAAATGATTCAAGGCATGGGATGGAGTGCAGTCAAGGGAGATTCTCCATTGCTAGCTTGAAAGTGGAGGAGACTATATAGCAAGGAATGCAGGCAGCCCCTATCTGAAGTGGCTCCCAACTGATAGCTAGCAAGGAAATGGGACCTCAGTTCTATAATAGTAAGGATCTGAATCCTGTTATGACCATATTTGATTGGGAGATGATCCTAGCTCCAGATGGGAACACAGACTGGTCAACACCTTGATTTTAGCCTTGTGAGATCCTGAGCATTCTAGATTCTCTAGATCTAGATCTAGATCTAGATTCTCTGATCTACAGAACTGTGAGCTAGTAACTAAGTTTGTGGTTTGTCAATGACACAGCTGTATTTAAGCACAGGCAAAGACCTAGAAGCACCAAGAACAGCAGCAACACACACAACCCAGGGGCCAGCAAAGTCTTCATGAAATGTGTTAGGAAAAGCGATCTCATGTACACAGTCTTCCAATGTCCCCTTGCCACATAAGAATGGGTCTTGGGCCTGAAACACTTTCTGACCAAGAGATAAAGAGCCCACACAGTGTATGCAAGGCTTATCACCTTGTGTGGGAATATTTTTCCTTGTTTCAGGCTCATTGTGTATTCCTTTGTTCTGCTTAAGTACCTGTGTTCTCAGGCACAACCCCAGGTTTTAGTATTTCAGACTCCATGAAGGCGGGGATCAGGGTTCTTCCACTGTGGCACAAGAGGAGTTCATAAAGGCTAATTGCACCTGCTGCCCAGACACCCACTATTGGAGCTGATCTTGCTCTTTCTCTTCTTTATGTGAGTAAAAGTGCCCCATCCAGTACTTTACTGTGTTGTATTTTCCTTGGCAACTCTGATACCAAGATGCAGTGGGAAGACGTGTTTGGACTTCTATTTCTGGTGGTTGGCATTGTAATGATCTTTGCTACCCTCTCCTTGTATTGGTAACTAGTCTTCTGCTTGACAGAATGAATTATCTTGGAGCATTTTAAAGGGTAAGGTGGATATTCCAGATAAAAAAAAATGAGGTGAAGGGGGAAAGAATTCAATGTTGGGTGGGATGAATAATGTATATTGGTTTCCAGGAGGTCCCTTGGATGGTGAGAACCTTGGGTTGGTGGTGGGGTTCTCTTGCCTAGTGAATATTTTGTCTGAGGTGGCTTTGGTATGGTAATTTGTCTGGGTTCTGAATTCCTGAGCCCATGTATCCCTTGTCAGGTCAATCCTTCAACTGCAGTGATCTTTAGCTGGTGGGTCCCTTGGCTGGAGGGTCACCTAACCAACAAGAGACTGAACATAGAAACTGCATTTATGTACATATAATGGCATAAATACTCAAGAAAAGCATTTGACATGAATTTGTCCTTGCTGTGTAACAGTTTACTTCCAAGGTGCTTTCTCAATCTATTGGGGCATGACGGTAGAAGGAATGTGTGGCTTTATAGAATGAATTGAGAGAACTATTGAGGATGTCCATGAAGGTAGCAGAGCCAGGACATCTCCCACCTCCAGTGGTCAGTTCTGGGAAGAAATAGATGCAGGAATGGAGAGTGGAGAAATAGATGCTCCTGGTATACTCAGGAGGTTAGGTCTTGGGCAGTGGTGACAGTGCCCAGTCTTCATAGTGTAGTCAACAGCTGGGATTCCTAAAGAGAAGGTTATGATGACTAAAGACAGTGGGCAGATTTGATGAGTATCCCTCTTTACTGTGTATCTCTTGTTTCCTGTTGTTTTCTTCTTTCATTCTCTCTCTCTCTCTCTCTCTCTCTCTCTCTCTCTCTCTCTCTTTTTTGTCCTTCCTCTGCATAGTAGCTTTCTTGGCTTGGGAAGTTGGGTTTCTATTTCCAGAAAGTGAAGGATTTTGTCAGAGTCCTTAGTAGGAAGGGACAACCTACCTCCTTCTGAGTTGTAGTCAGCTACAAGTCTGAAGGTATCACTTGTCTTTCCATGATTGAGATAGTCAAGCTCTAACTCTATCTTTACTTTAAACTCCTGACTGGTTCATCAAACGACATGTTGACTACTCACCTAAGTATGCCTAGAGGACCTGCTTTCTGATTGGTTTCATCTTCAGGGGCAAGTCTGGAAAGGTATTGGTCCCCAGGAAGCCTCCTCCAGTACCCTTGGTGCCAGTTTTCCAGAGTGCCCCATGGCTCTGGGGAGTGCGAGAGGAAGGGAGGCATCTGGGCCAGAATTGGGAAAGGGCCAGGAAAGGTCTCAGAAAGGAGGGCATAGACAAGCATGTCAAGATATGAGGTGTATCCTCTGGATTTAAGGGCAGAGAGGTGTTAATACCTTTGGTGAAGGCAATTTCAGAGGATCAATGGGCGAGAGGGAACAGGTGCCATATTGCAGGGACCCAAATGGTTTACAAGAAGAGGGGAGTATAGGGGAGCCTGGGTGGCTCAGTCAGTTAAGTGTTGGACTTCGGCTCAGGTCATGATCTCATGGTTTGTGAGTTTGAGCCCCGTGTCGGGCTCTGTGCTGACAGCTCAGAACCTGGAGCCTGCTTCAGATTCTGTATCTCCCTCTCTTTCCACCCTTCCCCAGCGCTCGCTCTCTCTCTCTCTCTCTCTCTCTCTCTCTCTCTCTCTCTCTCTCAAAAATAAATAAACATTTAAAAAAAGAAGAGAGGAGTGTAGACAGAGTGTAGATATCACTTTCCAAAGCTCTGGAGGTGAAGGAAAAAAATCCTGAGAAGAATATAGGTTCCAGTTTCTGGGGCACCACAGGGCCAATGCCCAGTTTCAGAGAGTCATGGATTGATTGTGAGGTGTGGAAGTGGAAATGATATAGCCATTTTCTTTAAGAAGCTTGTTGATGAAGGGCCAAGAAAGTCAGTACTGGGGTAGGAGCAGGGGAGTGAGAGTGATTTTTTTTTTTTAAGATGGGAGGGACTTGGGAATATTCCATTGGATGGAAATTCTGAAAAGACAGTAGCATGGCCCCATGTTCTGCCTCTCCTTTTGTCTCTGTAATTATGAATGAACCAACAATCAAACCCAGATTCATAGTTTAAAGGGGATTCAGCGGTTTAGGGGAGTGGGTTTTGGGGTTTTGTTTGTTTTGGTTTTGGTGGGAAAGATGAGATAGACAATGTACCAGTGAGAGAGGGGATGGAGATGTGGGAGAGATGGTTTAGTAAAGCTGAGGACATTTGTTTGTTCTCCCTATAGCCTTAATATCTAGAACAGGAACTGACATAAAGTAATGCCCAATAAATGTGGACTGAATCAATATGCCTGGGCCTTGGGACCAGGCTACCTAGGCTTGAATTCCTGACATGCCACTAACTTGATGTGTTGCCATGCGCAAGTCACTTAATCTCTTTGTGCATGTTTTCTTACCTTTAAAATAGGGTTAATAATGCAGCACCTGGATGGCTTGGTTGAGACTCTGACTTGATTTTGGCTCAGGTCATGATCCCAGAGTTGTGGGATTGAGCCCTGCATCAGGCTCTGTGCTGGGCATGGAGCCTGCTTAAGATTCTCTCTCTCCTGGGGTGCCCGGGTGGCTCAGTCGGTTAAGCCTCTGACTCTTGACTTTGGCTCAGGTCATGATCTTGTGGTTCATGGGTTCAAGCCCTGCGTCGGGTTCTGCACTGACAGTGCAGAGCCTGCTTTGGATTCTCTCTCTCCCTCTCTCTGCCCCTCCCTGGCTTGTGGGCACATGCGTGCACGGGCTCTCTCTCTCACAAAAATAAAAAATAAATAAAAATAAAATAAAATAGGGATAATAATGGTTTCTCCCTCATTTAGTTGGATTAATCCTCATTTAGAGGATTAATTAAGCTAATGTATGTAAAATGCTTAGAACTGTGCCTGGCACATAGTGAGTATTATATAACATGGTGATGATGATGGTGATGATGGTGGTGGTTTTGGTGAAGGAGGAGGAAAAGAGGAAGGAGGAGGCGGAGGAGAATAATGTGATTCAGAGCATATGGGAACCATCCCTCACCCTCTTCACGTTGGGAAGGAGGGATGGAATGTGTCTGGATGCAGGTAAAACATGGACCCTATGCCTTAATCACAGATGGTTTCATTGCAAGGAAAAAACACCCCTCAAAACTAGCTTAAGAAGGGAAGCTTCTTATAGGGCTACAGGGCCCTCTCAGAGCCATCTAAAGAGAGGATATTCAGTATAGCAGGCATATCAATCAGAGTTCAGTCAGAAAAATAGACACCATAGGTATTCCAACAAAGGGGATTTAAAACAGGGATTGGAATCCTGTAAGAGCAAAAGGTAAAGCCTAAGGTAACTCCACTCCTACTTCTAGACCTGGAATACAATAGGGAAGAGGTGGTGCTACAGGACTTAGAGAAGGGGGAGATGCATGACTGATGCTCTGAAGATAAGGTACATCTTAATGAGTA